CTGGTGACCTCGTCGGCGCCGATTTCTACGATGTGAGCCGACGCGACGGGTTCCGTCGAGACTCGCTTAGGGGTGACGGCGTCGCGGTACTTGTTTCGAACGTCGGGCGCGATTGATAATAACTCTTCTGGGGTCAGCGTGACAAACTGCGACTTCATTGAACGCTGGAAGATTTCCTCGGCGAGCTTCGGCTGGATGACAGGGACGATGGTCTTGTACGCTGGTTCCTTGCCCTTGTCGTTCGAGGGCTTCGGCGGAGTTGCGAAGTTTCGAACGTTCGGTGGGGCGTAGGTTGCGTCGCGAGCGTTTGCGAAGGGGTGTACTGGTGGTGCTGGAGGAGCGGATGTAGTAGGTCGAGACGTATCTTGCGTAGGCGGGGAAGAAGACGGCGCGGGTGCTGCTGCTGGTATCGTCGGAGGTGGGGCCGTGCTTGTCGAAGTACTCGAGGGCGCCGCCACTCCTTTCGATGTACCAGATCCCGAGGCTTCCGCGCTCTTCGGGACGGCTGTCGTCGTAGGCTTCTTCCGTTGTAGAATCTCGACGCCGTCGAAGACCTCCCTGCGCTTCCGAAGCTGAAGGAGTTCTCGTTCGAGCGCCTCGATCCTGCTGCTGGTGTTGAGCGTGAAGGTCTGCATAGTCGAGCGATCGTCGATCTCGAAGAGCATCGTCGGAGCGGCGGGTGCTGCGGGATTTCTTCTATGCCACTCGTAGATTCGATCTCGTATTGTGAGACCAGGGATAGTGCGGGGGCAGAAGCTTCCGTTCGGAAGGACGATCTTTCCTTCGGTGTTACGCTTACACTTGCCATCCCGGATGTCGATCTCCGCGAACTCGCAGGTGCCTACCCTGCAGCCACGATTGCCGCAGTAGTGGCACGTCTGTTCAACTCCGCTGTTCTCGTGGACGTGGACGGCAGCTTGTTGTCTCGGTGCGGGGGCGTGGTTGTGCGTAGCGTGTGTCGTCGGCTGAATAAGCGTCGCAATCGTCCTCGACAGGCTTTTGATGATCATCGAGATGTCTTCGGTTTTGATCATCCCGGGGGGCACCGTTGTCGAAGTGTTCGACGTCGAAGCGGTAGCTTGGTTAGCCGCTGTCGTAGGTGTGCTCGATGTACCGTGTAGAATGAATGTAGCCGCCGCGTGAATCTCTGCCATGGTGTATGGGTCGTCGGCGTAGTGATCGGGGTGCTTGAGATGCAGTCGGGTCTCGAGCCGTGTGAGCAACGCTGGCTGGAAACCTCGAAGAAATGCGCGGCTTTGTTCGATAGTGGAGAGTCGGTGCTGTGCGATGAGATGTTTCGTAATGGCCATGAAGTCGCGGTAGTAGCAGCCTAGGTCTGCCGCGTTGTGAATCCCGATACGAGCGCGTTCTCCGATGAGCTGGTCCATATCCGCCAGCGACCACTTTCTTGTATCGTCGGCGCCGGGATAGAGTGCTCGTACGTCCGCTTTCCAGTCGTTGTAGCTCTTGGCTACGTCGATGAAGGACTCGATGGTTTCCCATAAGTCGGCGACGTCGATCGAAGGGTACCGGACGGCCCACTGTTTCTTGGCTGCTTCGTCGGTAATCTGACACCGGGTGAACAACGCCTCGAGGTCCTGGAAGTAACGCCGAAGCGAACGGACTTCCGACGGGTCAAAGCTTGGTGCCGTCAAATGACCGCGCGGGGGCATCAACGGTGCGGTCGTGTTCTGACTCATGTTTGTAGTGGTAATAGGAGCTGGGCTCGAAGAGGATGCGGTAGTAGTCGAAGGAATCGTAGGTGCGGGCGGTGCGAGGTTGGAGTTCGAAGCTGCGTTCGAAGGTGCTAATGGTGGCGGAGGTGCCAGTTCGGATGTAGGTATGACTGAGAGCCGCGAAGAGGATGCGATGGGCGGCTGTGCGTGGGCGCGAAACGAAGACGGAGTCGGAAGTACAAGATTCGAAGTAGCTGGGATGGGATCCTCGAGTTCGGGCGAAGAACTGGATCGTTCGAAAAGATCAGGAGTCGAAATGTCGTAGTCGGAAGTAGTGAGGCCTAGAAGCTCGGGGGACGAAGTGCGTTCTTCGGCGGTCGAAGGGATCGGTTCTTCGTCGAAGTCGTCCTGGAGTTCTTGGTCTATCTCGTCTTCTTCGTCGCGGTCGAAGTTACCGGGAATTGTCGGAGAGGGAGTCGATTGCGTTCTAGAGGAGCTGTCGAGGTTCTCAGCGGCGCTGCGGCTAGCAGCCTCACGCGCTTGCGAGCGGGTGACTACTGGGGACATTTTCGGAAACCCGAAAGCGGCGAATTCTTGCCTGAAATCCCCTCGCGGTGGGCTCCAGAAATGATACGACCTACGAAACCCTAACCCCTAACCTGGGTGCGACCTANAGGGACTAGAGAGACGGATTATAGTCTTAAGAGAGGGGAGTTAGCAGCAAGGTGTCCCGCGGTTCGAGTGAACACGAGAAACGCCTTCGGAAAAGGCTACGAACGATGGGGAAGGTACGAGGTGGCTTCGACACGTCGTCGAAGCTACTCGGAAGCTGTGGATAGTTAGCGGAGACGATCGAAGCTCGGTAGAGCTCTTCGATGTATCGT